TTATGCCATTCAAGTGTACCGCGAGTGAGGTCCTTAATCAAGGTATTCTTTTGAATGGTTTTTGCAAGGTGCTGTTTGTAATTTTGCAAAACACGATCAATTTGTTTCCATTCAGTGCATGCCTACGTAAATTTCATCGTTAATGTCCTCGTCAATGTAATATTGGTTAGATAATCAAAATAATCTTAAGAAAAAAAATTTACGTTGTCTAGATGCTTTAGAATCTTATCTTAATTTTATGTCACCCAAAAATTTAACTCTGAAAGCCATACAATGATGATGATATGATCGTGTTTTAGATGCATTATCTGGATTATGATTTGTAATCATATATCCGGATGTTTAAAACTCCTGTTTTCAAATGATTTTATTCACTGAAGAATGACGTGAATAAATTATCATCATCATTAGCTTGGCCTCTACTCTTTGGGGTTTGGCATTATGAATCCTCATCTTTTATTTATTCTAATTAAGTATTTTATTGCAGATATTACTTTTTCTTATTATTCTAAAATCATTTTAAGCAATTGTTTTCACTGTCAAACTATGTGCCATTTTCAGTATACCTGTTAGATTTTAATAATCAGGCATTTACACACGTAGCACACAATTCTCATGTATTTACATATCTCACACCTAAACTTTCATATTTACACACATAGCACTGAAATCTTTACTATCACATAAAAAAATAACATTATCATCCCTTTTTAAAAGTGAAATACACCTTTTCATGCAAAGGTTTAAAGCATCAAAGTGCTATGCATGTAAATATGATAGTTTAGGTTTGAAATATATAAATACATAGAAATTGTCTTCTACTTGTGTAAATTTCCCTTTAATATTTTTGGTTCAACGTCAAACTCAACAGTATTTCATCATAGTTTTATAAAACAATGAAGAGGATTCAACAAACACAGTTCGTTAAATAGAACTTCTATCACCTCCACCACTCCAGTAAAACAAATACAGAAAGTAAAAAGCTGGAAAAATTACATTGTAATAAAGATAAAAGTTTGCAAAATCTTGTTTTTGTTTCAGATCAGGAAGCTTATGTGCATACTTCTAACTTGAATGGAGCACCGGAACTTCGGCGTGCTCTCTCTCTTCTGTCAAGCGATGCCTGGTGCCCGTCCAGCACGGCGCAAACCAATATGAACCAGTTAGCGAATGCCGATCCCATAGTCACATCTCATCTTCGAGCTCAGCTGGCGAACTCGGCACCTCAATGTTGGCAGGATGATAATTCTCTGCCTGAGCAAACACTACCTTTCAACTTACATGGCAATGGAACTCACCTTCAGGATCTGCAACTCAGCAAAGCTCCATATGAGACCTCCTTTTATGAAGCCACTCAGGTTTTCTCCAAATCAGATGGCCATTTTCTGGAGTTCAAGACTTGAGAAGGTTTGTAATTCCATATGGTCTTTTAGATTTTTGCTTGATTTTCATACATATCACTTAATTCATATGTATATTTACATATCCATCACCACCTAAACTTCAGTTTTCCTACATTGATGTCACCTTGCATATGGATGAGAAGGGTCTAAATATCCTAGTTGTATTAATGTAAACGGTGGAGTTTAGATATTAGGTATGTAAATACATGGGAATTATCATTTTGAAAAGAAAAAAGAATTGATTTTAATATGGATATATATGGATCAAAATGCAGGCATATTGTATATTTGCAAATTTCCTATGTCCTGAAAAAAAAAAAAGAAATTGCAATTACTGACCCATTGAAGATGGTGAATATCCTAACATTTAGCTCATGATTTTGCTCTCCCTCAAGCTGATTGGATGGAAATCAGATTAGTGATAGATATCTGCTTATGATTCTGCAGCTTGCCTTTGCTCCATATCTGCACAAGTGACCAAAAAATTTCAGTCAATTTTCTGTTATTTTGTTGCTGTTTTTTTTTTTTTAATGCTGATATAAAATGAAACCTGTTGCAATTTGAATTTTTAGATGTAAAGGCCAACATAATCACATGGCATCATCATGAGAAAATTAACAGGAATGTATCAGTGTGACACTTTATTATTATTTTTTTAGTCCCTGATTAATTACATTGGGGATTTCTTTCAATTTCTTCTCTCTATGAATGATGATATTTTTAATTTTTTTTTTTGTTTTTGTGGACTTTTTAGTGAATTTAATCTCAAATTAACTCAATTACAACTTAAGACCTCTTAATTGAAGCTTAAGTTCTGAGCCAGTGTTATTGATATGTCTTTTGTGTATTTGGGTGCCATAATATTTTACGTGCAGTCATTTTTGTCTTAGAGTTTATAGAAGTATCAAAATAATTCATAATTATTTTTAAATTGAGTTCTAATCATTCTTCATGAGGATTATTTTAACCTTAATTTAAAGGAGAAAATATTACATCAGGAGTCTTAATGTAATTTCATGTGCTTATGATAGTTTTAAGGTGTTATTGGTAGTATTGTGAGATTATTTTACAAATAACATTATAATATTATCATTAACGCCTAATCCGGATGTAATAAGAAGATTATTTTGACCGTTTTATAAATTTTGAGACGACTTATAGTGATAAAAAACTGATTTTTTTTGAAGTGATTTACAACTCAAGGATTTTTTGGCTAAAAAAGGTGTTTTTTTTGGTTAATTAATCCGTCAGATTGTTAAATCAATTTTAAATTTTTAAAAGATAGTATTAAATATGCTAAATGTAAATATGAATTATTAAAGAAATTGATTATTATATTATAGCAATTATTTGGGTTGGCTTTTTCTCCGTTAAATCATGAACAAATTGGCATTTAAAAGTCAAATATGTCAGCCAATAGCTGGCAGAAGACAGCGACTTCGTTGCATTCAGAACGGGTCGTTCGTCATGCAATAATTGAGGCGTTTAATATTATCTTATTGATTTTCTTCGCATGCACTTTTAAAAATATTATTGGAATATTTACATGCATGCCACATAATTTTTATTTATTTATATATTAGTATTATTTATAATCTGATGATAAGTAAATTATTCAATATATTATCAGAATAAACTTAATTGTTGTTTGAGACATTTTATTCAAAATAGTTTATTATTAATTATTGCTGTATAAATGATTTTTCTGTCTCTGTTTGGTAAAACTGTTTGCAACAGAATTAAAATGAGAGTATTACAAAAGCATATATATGTGTTTTCACATTTTAGAAAGCCAATAAAAGTGGTATTTTTAAGCGATGCGAAAGATTTGAATTTTGTAAATTTAGATGTTAGATGTATAAATATATAAAAATTGTGTGGTATGTGCGAAAATGATACATTATTTAAAAGAAAAGGAATCTTTAAAGGTAGTTCACCTGCTCCGCTAATATATATGGGATAGTTTTTTATATCAACCTCACTACTTTCTTTTTTCAGAAATAAATAAATAAATTATTTAATGATTACTCTAAATTCGTCACCTAACATTTTTTTATGATATTAAATCGTTATATAAAATTATTGAGAAAATATTAGAATAAATGATAAGCTTTTCTTTTATTAAAGATTCGTAGGGCTCCTTTTATTCTTGAAACAGCTCCCTCGCAGGCACCAGCACCCTTGTAGGCACCTAATTAAGCCCAAATTTCTTATCTGATGAGCCCCTCCCCTTGACTCCAACACCTGAGATGATTGATAGCACCGACAAAGTTTATATTGTGTCGGAGGATGACTCGTAAGTCAACTCTGAAAATGTAGCTGGACTGTTTGGGCAAACTGTGTTTTGACTGTTACCCCTCATACACAGCTCCCTCGCAGGCACCAGCACACTTGTATAGGCACCAAATTAAACCCAAATTTCTTATCTGATGAGCCCCACCCCTTGACTCCAGCACCTGAGATGATTGATAACACCGACAAAATTTATATTGTGTCGGAGGATGACTCGTAAGTCAACTTTATTTTTTTAAAATAAAGTAATTTCAATTTTCATTTCATTTTATAATGTAACTAATATTTCTATTGTGGGTTATACCCTTCTAGGCCGCTTGTGATGCGAATCACGAAGATAATTCAGAGTCGATATGTCATCTATATCTCTCATGGAAGTAGATCCCGATTACAAATCAGGATATGTATTTTAAGGAGTTCTAGTCATGATATTATAACTTGAAATAGAATGCTAATTTCTACTTTTTTATACTAATCAAACTTATATAATTTCTCTTTTTTAGAGGCCGTTTTACTAGTTGTCGGAACATCACAAGCATATCCGGTAAATTTTTGAGGTTCATGCCAAAAATAGGCTCAGAAATATGTTTACTACAACGCTGAAGAAGGGGCAGAGGCTCTTTGAGTTGGTGTGGAAGTTCAGGCTACAATAAACAAAGCATGGGCCTCTATGGAATAGCAGAGAAAGAGAAAGACAAATCAACATAACCAGATGACAAAGGGAGCCAGAGGGGCTGCACTCCACATCAGAAGTTCGATCCCCCACACAGGGCATTATTGGAGATTAGTAAGATTGTCTAAAAATTCAAAAGCCTGCATATTTATGTAATTATGTGACTCTTATATTAATTTGATCATGTATACATGCCAAGAAACTTGACGGAGAGACATCCGCTGCAGAGTTGCACATCCTCACACATCAATGCATGGGCACACAACTGTGGGCATCCAACCACTCTCTGCGTGTCAATGAATTTCTTTTTTTTTTTGGAGATATTAATATCCCAATTAATTTTTGAATTTTATTTTTCAGAAAGAGTACGAGCAGCTCCGGGAGAGACAGAGGGAGATGACTAGCAAGACCTCGCTATTCGTCAGCAGCAGTGGTAGTCAGTCCACGATTGTTTAGTCTGATTTTGAGTTGTGAATGCAATTAACGGGGAAGAAGAAGAGGAGAGTGTACAACTTAGAAGCTAAGGGGATAGCATTTAAGGTTAAGCACTTCCGTGCAGCTATGGGTGACCCTAGCTCGTTACAGGCTCAACATGAGGAGCTTACCAGGCTGGCCATGATGATGAAAGAATAGCTCTGATAGATGTGTAAAGACCAACAAATGGTTGGAAATAGTCTAGCATGACTGATGAAGAGCTTTGATTGCTAGGGCAACTGACATATGAGGGTTGTCGAGGAGGATGAGGAGGAGAAGGAGTAGGATCATTATAAGGAGAAAGATTATGATTTTTATTTTGTGTTGGATGATGTTCCCTCGACATCGGGGGTGATTATATGTTTTTTTCATTTCTATTTAATCAAAATTTCGGTTTCTGTAGCTATGAACTTTGAACAATTTGATCGATTTATCTTTAATTTAATGTGATATCATTATTTAGATATGTTAAGAGTTTTTTTATCAGTTCTAATGATATATAATTGTCCTATTATGTTGCTTGCATTTTTTCTATACATGTAAAAATCTAATCGTTTTGCTGTATTTTTTTTGTTTGTTATATGTTTGCATCAGAATATTCCGACACTAAAGTAACAATCTGTTGTTTGATACCTGACACCTCTAATTCGAAGCTTTAGTGTCAAATATGACTGACACTAATTAGCGTTGGCTATGGTGAACACTAATTAGAGTCCACCAGATCGATGCTAATTAGCATCAGATTTGTTTGAAACTGGTGCATCGTTAAGCAGTGTCGACTGTACTTTCGAGCAATCGTGTTTAGCATAAAAAAATTGCCCGATTAGCGTCAGAAATGTCTGACACTAATCAAGCCTTTTTTTTGTAGTGTTAAGTGATGTTCAAATATTGGCCCTGAAAGCGAAGAAACAACAGAAGGATATCAAGACCCCGTTATCGTTCAGACAATCACCTAGAGTAGTAGGAGCCGATAAGAGTATATTGTGACAAATCTCCAAATTGAACCAAAAGAAGGGCTAGACTAGATAACAAGAAAAAGAGGTACTGCACTTGATTTCTAGAGATCAATATTACTTAAGAGGGGAAAATGGGATGCGAAATAGTACCATTTGTAAAGAGAATGCAATAAGTCTTTTTTTTTTGCATGCGAATTGATCAAAATATAGTTGTCGCTCTTAAGTCACAAGCTACAAATAAAATCTTCAAAAAAAAAAAAAGAAAAAAAAAAGACTTCCCTATGAGAATTCTCTCCAACAAAATCTTCAAAAAAAAAAAAAAAAGACTTCCCTATGAGAATTCTCTCCATTTAAGCATTCGACTTTAATTATAACATTTAAGAGTTAATTTATTTAGCTGGACAAAATGCTCAAAGTCCCCATTTGGCTCAATATTTGGAAAACTTTTTGTGTATGGACTACGAAGGTAAATTTTGCTGCCAGAATTCATTGAAAACTTGCCACGTGACAAGTGAGCCTTATATCTTTTAAAAATCACCTCTAACGAGTGTATTACAATGAGACTCACTTGCCACGTGACAAATTTTCACTTAACTCCAGACACAAATTTGCATTCAAAGTTCGGATGCAACATTCTCTCCAATACTTGGGGTCTACTTGGAATGTAAGATTAATGAGTGCTCACCTTAGATCATACTCAAAGCATGAGCATGAGTCTTTTTTAGAACCATAAAAGAAATTTATGAGCAATTTGTTTTAAATGAACTAAATTTTAATAAACTAAAGTGTTGCTCAACCAAGTCCTTAAATAAACAATCTAAATTGTTTATTTTGTAGCAATCAAGTTAAACATGAAGCCGGCTTATAAATTTTATATAAATCGTATACATTTTTATAATTACAAAAGCTTTGAGTTCAAGTTCAAGCACACGAAACAATCAAAATTTTCGAAATATATTCGAGACAAGCCCAAGTTGGCAGCCAAATCCGACCACTCGGCAAGACATCTTGACATATACAGCTCTATATAATCGCTCAATCAAATTCAATTGATTCGGTTATACAAAACATTACATGTTGATTAAGCCAAGTTGCTAAACAATTCAGCTAATCAATCAATGCTAATAAAAGAGGATTTAAGTGAGAGGCAGACTAAAATTAAAAGGAAAAAAAGTAGCTTGTTTCAGTTTAAGAAAAAAACAATGGGATTTGATACAGTGAGAGCTTGAAACAAAATAAGAAAAAGGTTCCTAAATACTAGCAACAACTTTTTTTTTTTTCTTTCCTACTGCAAAACACAAACAAAAAAGATCAATATTTGCATTCTTCACCTTCATTTTTCAATTTTGTGCTTCTTTCTTTCCTTCTTCCAAACAGCCAGCCATATTTCCTCAGCTCAGTCTATGGTCATGGGCTGTGACATGCAGCATCGAAATCGTGCCCGGCGAACGGATGTGGCCAATTCATCCTGGACACACTCCAACATCTTGACAATTTCGCTAAACGGCGGGCGAACATCAGGGTTTGCGTCCCAGCAGTGAGTCATGATCTCGCCAAGTGCGGCGGGGCACTCACTCGGTATGATCGGACGAACGCCCTTGTTAACGACAGCAAAAGCTGCCTGCACCGCCGTCATGTTCTGAAATGGAAGCATTCCTGTTATGAGCTCCCACAGCACAATGCCGAAGCTGTAGACATCAACCTTCTGAGTGTATGGCCTGTGCTGGATCATCTCTCTGCAGGTTAAGAGGAAAGGATTCATATTGTGTATTGCAGCATCAGAAGAAAAATACAGACAATAGAGAAACGAGCCAAAAAAAATAATCTTTAGTTCAGTAGGCATACAATATTAGTATGATACAGCTACCAAATTACGAAGTAAATGTGGTCAATAAAAGATTATTGTTAAAAAAAAAAAAGAGAAAAAAAAACAATAATAGTTAAGCAATCATATAAAAGGAGAAAAAAAACAATAATAGTTAAGCAATCATATAAAAACAAACATCATTCGTGAAGAACTATACTTCATTTGATTCGGACCTTATTTTAGCAAAATACAAACTGAGTGCAGAGATTCTTTTCTAATATTGTAGTTCTGTTGCCAGTTGCAGCATGTGCATCACATTTTATTTTATTAACTTATTTGCACCGCCACAAGATTCACTGTGGCAGGACAGTAGGCAACAAGCACCAATTAGCAAAATTATTCAATGATTTCTAAATTAATCTTCATTTTAGGTCTTCTCCATGCGGTAGAATGTTGCATGGGAAAAATAAAATCATCATCAATATCAAGCTTCAACAACAACAAGAACAACAATAAGCCTTTATCATACCAAGTGAGGTCAGCTAAATGAATCATTTTTCTCCGATCCTATTGAGCGTCATATTTTCATTTAATTCTAATAAATAAAAGTCATTTTTTATACAAAATTTCTAATCTTTTTTGGTCTTCCTATGCCTGCCTTAACATATGTTGAATCTAAAAAATCCATTCTCCCAACTGGATCATCAAATAGTCCTCATATCAAAATTCAGAAAAAAAAAATATTTCAAAAAAAATATATTTGACCAAATTGAAGATTCAGAGTAATATACACTTGTTGATGATTATAAAAGCTATACTTTTTTCAAGTTGTCACCATCATAATCGTTATAGAACATAGTTTGAAACAATACTTCTCCACGATGGGCGTCTTTAACAAGATCACAGCAATTAATAGATCAAAAATGCAACTATGAAAAATTTTATGGTGGTAAATGATATTTTGGAAATTAATTCGTCTGAAGTAAGCCACAGCCATATTCCACTGTTCAAAAAATGAGTGACATCAAACTGATCCGAACTATAAATGAAAGCATGGTTATGTCTAGTTCAACAGTGCATAAAAGTATAATATTCTGGATAGAACTATAGTGCAATTATGTTTAATATTAAAACTGAGAAGCAGCTGTTTTGGCATAGTAGGTTGGTCGGAAGGATGTACTTTCAAAGACAAAAAAAGGCAAGTTTTTGCATTGATAGAAAGATCCTTTCACATTTTCAGGCCATAGCTGTCTCTCACTTCTCCTATCATCTCGTGGTTACCTTAAAGGGGCATTTACATACATATCACCCAATTCATATGTATTTACACATCCAACATCTAAATTTTGCTTTTTACAATCAAAGCGCACCCAAATTTTATGTATCCCATAAAAAATACCATCAATTTAACTTCTAAAAAGTAGAATACATCTTTTCATGCATAGGTAACGTGGTATGAATGTAAGAACTAATATTAAGGTGTTAGATATGTAAATACATAAAGGATTTGAGAGGGATGTATGTAAATCTTCCTACTTTAAATTTCATTCCAACTTCTATAACACTTAACTCTCTATTGAAGCTGCAAATAGAAATCCTACAACTCTTTCAATTTCTATTTCTCAGTTTTCTTCCTCCCACGTCTATTAAGGTATTTTAATGTATTTGCGACATAATTTTTCTTATTAGTATTAAAATGACTCGATCACTAAACTTCACGTTAATAACTTACCTAGAGCTAAAAGATCCTAACTAGAGCTCTTCTCATTTAGCTCTAGCATAATCTGCCGGATGCATTCAGTTTTGCCCCACCACAACCTGCCTACACAATACAGAAATTTCTCAACTTCTACGGTTCAGTCAAACATTGATAACTGTAGCCTCTGAATACATCCAAGCCTAAATGTTTAAAAACGGTATAAAATAAAGTAGAGATGGAATAGTAAGGACCGATTTGAGATCATTTTTTTTTTCTTTTTACTGTAAACAAGATAGTTTACTCTTTTTTAAACAATTTTTTTTTTGAAGTACCAAAAAAATGTCCGAAAATTTTTTAAAAATTTAGAACAATTTTTTTAATTATTGGCGCCCTCGACACAGCCTCCATCTCACCACTCGATCATTGTGCCTTGGCTCACTGTGGTGTTCACACCAAGTTTGACCTTGCCACAGCCATAAACATTCTCACCACCCACACTACATCCATCAAGTTCAACAACACTGACAACTAATGTGACAACGAATAATGCGGTTTTGGAGGTTGCGAAGGCGGCGACAACAAAATTGGATGGGAAAGAGGTGAGGATGGATAAGGATTGAAGTGCAACAACAACCCTCAAAGAGGTGGTGCTATAGGTAGATGATGTGGATGTGGCTCTGGCATAAATTTTCTAAGTCTCCAACTGCTCCAGTTTATAACCAGACATGACCTCGCCATTCCTGGGGTGATACCAACATTAGTTTTGCAGTGAGTAAAAGTTACCGGCCCACCAACACGTAGGCAAAAGAGATATTAGTTTGATTTTTTTTTTTGAAAAAAAAAATGCATAAGAATGTCTAACATGCTTTAATTTTATGTTAGAATATAAATAAAGTGAAATAAAAAAATTAAAACAATTCCAACCACACTAGAGCCAACATCAAACTCATGTTAGGGATTCACTAACCTAAATAAAAACCAATTATCATGCTGGCGTTTATCAAAATTTTCTTCTACTATTATTGCTGCTGCTGCTGCTATTATTATTATTATTATTATTATGCTGTCTACACTGCGTTCAAAATCACCAAAAAAAAAGGTCAAGGAACCCCTCATATTCCTACACTAAGTTAGGTCCAAAATACACTTGACATAATAGAAGAATTATGAACTCATACGAGTAATAGACTTCAAAAGAAATTAAAATACTCAAAGCAAATTAGAGCTAAAATTAATGATCAATCACAAAATTACCCAAACCTGAAGCCTAAATACCCCACCTCAATAAGAATCAAACACTTGGTAACTCAGGTTGTCATAGATCCCTGATTATAAAAGTCATAGACACTTATAAATATGCCTACCTAACCATTTCAACCTTGGAAGAGTTACGCTTTTTGTAAGAAATGGAATTAAAATTCAAAAAAAAATTCCAAATACAAAGGTCGCACCTTACTTATTATAAAGCACATATTTTGTAACTATAAAAGAGGCCCTGATTGGAGGAATCAATTATCTTTGGTGCTAACAAATCTGCAAGTGTAAGGCATGCTAACAGTTAAATCTAACGCATATATATGAAAAAAGTGAAGAAATAAGAGTATGAAATTTTGCACCTTGGAGGTCTCTCCTTTAGGATTTCATGTGTGCCTCTCCTTCTCTGGAAAAATTTGCGTGCGATAGACGTACGCAGTGCTGCGTGCGATATTGGGATTATACCGAGGGTACAAGGGAGTTACATCCACGGTATAACCCCTTGTAACCTCCCTGTAACTTGTTGTAACCTATCTGTACCCTACAATAAGTTTCGCGCTTCTGTTATCATATATTAAGAGGTTACACGTAAGTTACAGGGAGGTTACAAGGGCTTATACTGTGGATGTAACCCCCTTGTACCCTCAATATACCCCAGTACCGCACGCAGTGCTGCGTACGTCTATCACACGCAAATTTTTTCCCTCCTTCTCACACTGATGATGTCTCTCAAACTCCAGCTTTCGTTATTAATGTTGCCTCTATTGCCTATCTCTGGGTTCCTTGGCTGTCTCAAACATTAGTGGAGGCTTTTCTGCCTTGTTCTCACCACCACACTTCGAAGAACATTCCCCCCTTCTCTAAGATCATGAAGTTTTTCTCTTTAGAACCGTTCATATGCTAGATCTTTCCCCTCTTCTGACTTCTTCCTTCTCAAACCCAACTTCCTTCCACCTATCTTCAACTCTTCTTCTTCCTCTGCTCCACCTAATCAAGGGGCCAGGCCCTCCGACCCTAAACAGTGATTCCAAGATAAATATCTTCCCTTCTATCTGCGTTCATGCAGGAACTGAAAGGGCTTCCTGAGTGCTCAGACGCCTAAATCTATGAGAATCTTTTACAGAATGAAAACCTCAATGAGAGAGTTTGTTTCTCCGAAAGAATTCTCCTCTGGAGGGGGTTTCAAGAGGATAAGTGAATTCCAGAGCATAGGAAATCCATTTGGCATAATAACCAAATTCATGATATTTTCCATATAGACTGCAAAGTGAATTTAGAGATTACTTTTACCCAACCTATGTTATATATCATCAAATTTTCTTAATGAAAGGGAATGTGATAAATTATTGTAATGGCAGAATTTGGAGGAAACGGAACACCTCTTGTGCCAAGTTCTACTCTCGTTTATCTCACCATAAATTCATTCATGGGTAAATTGATTCTACCAACTTTTTGAAATGTTATTTTCAATTATTTATTGTTTTAGTGTAGCTTTTGAGAGACATTTTTTGGAAAACTGACTCATATTGTCGAATTTGTTGATTTGCAATGGATTATTGAAAATTTCAAATGTTTTACGACTTCTGCTGAAAAAGTCTGTGGGAAACTTCCCCTTCCTATCAAGCTGGATGACATATGTATATATACATATATATTTCCAAATTGGGCACTTGGTTATGGGAGCTTTCTAGTGTTGGTTTTTCCCTTTCTTGATTTAACGAACAATTGGAGGCCTAGGATTTATAGGGCAATGTCTAATAGTATGTTGTGGCTATTGTCCCTGTATCTTATTAAAAGATTATGCCTCCTTGTTATGAATCATTTTTCAACTGCCACCCATCCAGTTTCGGTCAAGCATACTTTTATTTTCAAGAACTTCTAAATATTTTTGATATTTTAAAGATATTGACTCTAATGCTCGGGATAATTTTGTTTATAGATATTTTATTTTTGTGTTGTATAAGAAAAAGGAGGTT